AACGATAATTTACAAGGCGAACTTAGCACAGTGCGTAGGCAACTGGCTGAGTCATAGGGATCGTCGGTCCGAATCCTACTGAAAGAAGTCTGATGAGGACGTGTGGTGATTTCCGAAATAGCTATCACTTCTACCATTTTTTCAAATTATTGTTGCTTTTCCACAATAAGTTTTTCATTAAAAACGGCCTCAAGCTCAATAAAAATTGTTGAATATAAATATATTTTATGTCAAAATATATTCGAAAGACTACACTTAAACCCTCTTAAACATTTTCTACTCCTGGCCTGTTTACCAAGGTCTCATCTTCTGATGAATCGTAGAACCAGAACTCCGTTGTACACATGTTTACCACGTTTTTATAAACTCGATTTCGTTTTTATTTCATTTTAATTTGCACAAATTTACATGCTTATGTATAAGCACGCTATTTAGTTTGCTCGATTTGTAAACAAAACTTCTCAGCGGTGAAAAATATACTATATTATAGAAAACCACTGTAAAAGTCAGTCTGGGAAAGCAAGAAGTAGTAATCAAGCGCGAAGGACAAATTACTACATTCGTCGGGAGGCTGTGTTGCGTATCAAATACCTAGAAAGAAAAGAAAAAATGAAAATTGATGTTTTGAAAACTCAGGTAAACAACTGTTAACACTATTAACCCATATGAACACAAATATCTATGCATGTAAACGTCTTTTTTTACAGTTAGAGGTCGAAAAAACCAAAAAAAGAACGGCACTATTGGAAGAAGAGCATATCAAAATAACACTAGAAAAATCCAAGATGGAATTGGAGCAATTAAAAAAAAAAACATTATTCCCAATTAAAATTTAAAAAATGTGTGTTCACCATTTAAAAGTATAGAAGGTATCACATATATAGCACAGGGACAATGCAGTCGTGTCTTTATATAGCGACCGCCCGCTACAGTGAACACCTCCATATAGTGAACACCGAAATATTTACACTCTACTCTAAATAGTGAACAATCGAAAGCCTCTAAATAGTGAACAAAATTTTAAAAGCAACGGCAAGCATAAAAAAAAACCAAATTTCACCGGAAATGAAAGCGGCTATTCCCTGAAATTTATCACTTTATGTTTATTACTAGAAAAGCTGCTACTATTTGATGCTAATGTTTATTTGGTTCTTGTCGAGCTCCAACCGCTTGTGAGTGAATGTGCGCTGAATGTGGGAAAAAGCAACGATAATTTACAAGGCGAACTTAGCACAGTGCGTAGGCAACTGGCTGAGTCATAGGGATCGTCGGTCCGAATCCTACTGAAAGAAGTCTGATGAGGACGTGTG